TTTTTACTGTAAATTTCAACTAGCCCCAACATGTAATTTATTAATTATCCAAGATATTTAAAAAACCTGTTGCGTCTTGGCACTACACTCAAGGTAAGCAGCTGCTCCAATCAACTTCTTCAATTCCTCTCCCTTCAGAGGAAAATGAAGTGAAAAAAAAAAGGAGGAAGGGCATATAAATAAATATCAAAATACAGGGAGATAGGGGGTCAAAAGTGGTTTAACAATCATTTTGATGGCCTGTAAGGAGGTGTATACCTGCCCAGTCGTGATGGGTACAGCTCCAGGATGATCTGAGAAGAACTGTTTATCCTCCCGAAGATCTGAAAGGAATTAAAATATGGATCCAAGCTATATAACTTAAAAAAGAAAAAAATCAGGATCAACATAGAGAAAAGGGAAAAAGAATGATATCATCCGCTTTCTTAATTTTCCGGGCTGTGAATTGGCTTTGATACAGGACAATGTGTATTATGATTGAATATACCTCAGGTGAGTAAGATACCGGCCATGACTCGTGCAGAAATTTAAGAAGGACGAAATCATAAAGCATTAAAAAATCATTTCTGTTATTTTCTAAATGTCTAAACCTGAAGACAGCAAAGCAGTAATGTCATATAACTCTAACTATAATGCTATGCCATCGTATCAGATGAAGAATTTGAAATCAATGCACTGATAGAGAAAGACAGAAAAAGGTCCTAACCAAGCTTTGTTCCCACAAGAATAATTGGAACTCCAGGAGCATAATGCCTTAGCTCAGGGATCCACTGCAAATTAAAAGAAAAAAACACCAAAATAATTATCACAACCATGCAATCTGGCACTTCAGAAGGATCATTAAGCTAGAGTTTTACAATCATCAGCTCTTTTACAGATTGAGGAATGATGCAAAGGCAACCAGCAAAAACTAAGAACGCTTTAGGTATCATTTTTTCATTCCCTTCTTTTTTCACTACCTCTTACTTTCTTAAAGATGTTCAATCAAATAAATCTGAAAATACAAACAGGTGAGATATCCATTATTAGGATAAAGGCAGACTCGCCTTCTTGGAGATATTCTCATAACTGGCCTTGCTAATCAGAGAGAATGCCAGTATAAAAACATCAGCCCCACGATAGCTTAATGGTCTCAGTCTGTTGTAATCTTCCTGACCTGCACGATGTAAAGAGGAGTTGTTGGTAGCATTCTTGGCTGGATAATGGAAAACGAAAGAAAACAAATCTCAGGACAACTAATTTTACCAGCAGTATCCCATAATGCTAGGTTTACAGTGCTACCATCTACCACGACATTGGCACTGAAATTGTCAAACACTGTTGGGACATAATCCTGTTTATGTTACAGGCCAAAAGTTCAGTTAGAAAAAAACAACCAAAATAAAATAAAAATGGCATACAGCATGAAATACCGTCAGTTGCAAAAACTATAAACGAATAAATCGCACATGAGGTTGAGACGAATAATTTATTAAAGTAGTGAACAGGCAAACCAGATAAATCACGCATAAGGGTATTGCTTGATCATGCCGAGTAGTGAATGGCACACCAAGACAAATAGAACTCGTCCAATAGGAATTAGAAAAAGAGATTTTCAGTTCGAAATATGCTGAAAATCAAGGAACTATCTGCATAGGCATTCATTTGTTTTGTATGGAAACTGACTTCTACATCAGAAATCGATCAAGGCGAGTTCTAATACCGCCATAAGTTCGAAAAAAACACTTACATCTTTATCACAAGATAAAACTAACTGAAGAAACTTCACCAAAACATTTCTTGAAAAAACCCAAACTATAACCAATAAGAAAAATTAAGCATCAATTACAGGGACATTTCTACTTTCCCACTCACAGACAAAACAGAATTACACAATCTTTTTTCTCTAAACATTAAAAACAGAAAAGGAAAATAAATTGGGGGAAAAACTTACAGTGGGGAAGGTGTTGCTAGTGTAGGAAATGAGCAAACAAGTTTTACCCACAGCACCATCGCCGACGGTGACGCACTTTATAAATCTCGAAGCGCTCATCTCGCCGCAGACGACGACGGCTACTTTCCGGCCGGCAAACTGTTTATCTGAGCTACAGTATCTTCAATGCTCAACTCTACAACAATCCGAGCTTACAATTATCACCTCTTTCGCTATCACCCAGTAGTACAAACGCTCATCTGCAGGATTATAGATAGGACAAATAAAGCGGAAAGTAAGAACTCACACAAAAAGCACAAAATCAAAATTCAACAGTATTCCATGAAAACCTCACCATCATCGCACAACTAACCCCAATCACAACTCGTCAAAATCCACACGCACAAAAACCAGAAAGTGATTGCAGAGTATAGAGAGGAGTGATGGTGATTTATATATATATTTATATATATATATATATAGAGAGAGAGAGAGAGAGAGAGAGAGAGAGAGAGAGAGAGGAGCGTCTTTAATCTTTTAGGGAGACAAAGGAGCTGTATTTGCCAATTATATACAAAATTTTAAGAAAATCGTGGTTAGACAAAAACATAACAAACTAGGCCACCGTGTTTTTTCAATCCTTTTTTTTTAATAATAAGTGTCGTTTCGAAAAGTTGAATAGTAAATTAAAATTTTATTTTTGTCAATAACCAACAATAGTTAATAAGGATAAAGATAAATGTTTTAAAAAAAAAAATAAAGAGTGAATATGAGAAGACGTAATATATTTATTATCTAGACGATAATAATAATGGAAAAATAGATATAAATAATTTCAAATGTCATTTATTTAGTTAATTGTTGATACAACTATTTAAAAAGAATACGAGATAGTATGTAATTATGTATTTTGTTAAAAAGGTATGATGAGTCGATATCCCTGACGAAGTAGAATAATTTATGCATGTATTATGATTAAGGATTTTGTAATTATTTTTATTTTCTACTAAGACTTGTATAATTAGTTTTTTTTGAGCGGAGTGTCTTTAATTTACCATTATTATTTTTTATTTTCTATGAACATCGTGAATTAAAATTGTGTGTGACAACTCTAATAAAGGCAAATAAATTTTTATAATTTAATTTAAGATAGAAAAATAACGTAAAGTACTTTTATCATAGTGTCAATCAAACGTCTAAGTCAAGTCTTATTATTGTGCTAATTAGATGTGATGGGGCTGCACAACGAGCTTTATAACTAATTTCGTATTATTATTCATGCAATATTGAAGGCTTTATTTCGACTGCTTCAATTGCACACTAAATTATAAAATTTTTGCAATATTGAAATAGGCTAAATATTTTCAGTATATATTTGTTGGATTGGATCCTTTACGGTTTTACCTTTCATTGTAGACGTGATCGGCCCGCCCATTTATATGGGCCGGTTCACAGACCGGGACAACCCTTTTTGTTTTTTAAAAAAATTAACATGTGGCATGACCCGGCCCGATTTGGACAGGCGGGACCAAAAGAAGAAAAATTGAATTGGGACCGAACCTCGACTTTAAGGATCCGGTTCAGGGTCAGTTTGGGTCTGTGCCGATTCACGGTCAGCTCGGCCTGTGGACATGTCTATTTCATTGTCACCCTTTTTTAATCACTCATTTATGGTGGGATAAATTAGAGCAAAGTTGCTTTCATAATAATCAACCTACCTAATTTCCACCATTAAATTTCTCATGATTTGGGTTGGTACATTAATTATCAAACAAATGTTTTTTTTAATTTTTTTTTTCTTCACTCACGTGAAGATGATGTTGTTACAACATAGAGTGATAAAACTTGTTTTTTTTTACATAATGAGATAAATAATATGTAAGTGTAAAAAATTATTAATTAAAAATTGATGTGATGTGTTAAAGCAACAAGATATTGTCATCGTGTGTATCATGTTAAATTTTATGTAAACCATTATGTTATTGTAGCATGATCTAATTAGAGCAATTTAAACACATAATCATCATCTAAATGAATTTGTCCAATATTTTTACAATTCCATGAAGTACCCAACCAACCAGGCCAAATTGGTTCTAAGTTCGGTTCAAATCTCAGCTCGGAAGGATAGATCAATGTTTTACATATCGTATCGTACCGGCCGGTATTACCGTTAATACCGGTGGTCGGACTGGTACGGTTACACTGTAAATACCGTTTTGGCCAAAATACCCGTTTATACTGGTTTATACCGAAAAATACCGGTCAAAATAACTTTTTATGCCAATTTTTTTTAAAAAAAAATTAAAATATATTTATTAATTTATTTATATAATTTGAATGTTTTACACCTCATTTTTATATGTTTACATTGTTATTAGTTGTTAATTAATATTAGTATTACTTAAAGTTAGTTCTGTACATTATTTATATTATAAATAACAAATTAATTTAATATTTATTAAAACCGACAAAATAGACGGTAAAACCGGTTGAACTGCGTACCATTGGCTCGTCTAGTATGATGATTGGTACGGTATTTAAAACACTGGGATAGATACCATCCTAGCAGAGTTTTTCGGTTGGGCGATAATTCTTGAGCTAGGGTTTTTGGACGATTTGTTATAATAACCAGTGTTTTGTGACCCGGACCGGCCCGTCGGGTCGACCCGGGACCCGGTCGACCCAGAGCCGGAACCGGTCCGGGTGGATTAATTGGACCGGGCAACAACGGACCCGGTCAAACCCGGTCAAAACCCGATCGACCCGGCCTTGACCCGGTCGACCCGGGGCATTGACCCGGCTGGGTCAACCCGGTTGACCCGGTCTATATGTATTTTTTTATTATTTTTTTTGTTTTTTAATTTTCTTTTTCTTTTTAAAAAATAAAATTATGTATATATATTTATATGATAAATATATACATATTATTACCACTTTAATCTACAAATTTTACATACAAAATATTTAAATTTGTTATTTTTATGTATATTTATATATCACAAAATACTCTATATATAATTTTATAAATTTTAAAATTAATTATCCGGTTCAACAATTGACCCGGTGATCCGACGGTTGAACCGGTGACCCGGTGACCCGAAGACCTCCCCGGGTCGATTACCGGGCCGGGTTTAAAAACTATGATAATAACAAATTAATTTAATATTTATTAAAACCTGCAAAATAGACGATAAAATTTGTTGAAACGCGTACCGTTGGCTCGTCCAATATAATGACTGGTACGACATTTAAAACACTAGAACAAATACCATCCTAGCAGAGTTGCTCGTTAGGGCGATAACTCTTGAGCTAGGGTTTTTGCACGATTTGGCATAATCCTCAAATTGAAAACGAGTGTAATATACTTTTAAATTTTGGTCGAACTAAAAAAGTGTGAAGTCTGAAGTACGTATTCTATTAGGAAAAATGAGGCCTCTATGTAAGAGGTAGGGTTGTATCGAACGCAAACAAAACTCGCTCGTGTTCGTTCATGTTTGATAACAACTCGTTTGTTTAGTAATCGATCCGAATAGTTCGCGAATAATCGAGCAT